CCGGCCCGGCCCCCCTCAATGGGGTCCGCGCTCCGCGCTCACCCTCTCTCCAACTAACTCATTGGAGTGTTTTGTTCTTTTCTTATTACTTGTCCGTTATTACTAGTCCCAGGCCCGGAGGACGTCGAGGGGTGGACAGGACGGCGGACACGGCGGCCAGATCTGGGAGGAGGAAACGCGGTGACAGCACCGGCAATGCCCTACTTTGGAGTGCTTGTAACAGAGGTCTCTCCTGCTGTTGGTTTCCGCAGAGAAGCGAGACCCTTTTCCTCCTCGTCTTCCTGTTCCCCCGCCACGGCCTCGCCGAACTTTTCTTTCGACTACGTTACGATTACTTACCTCCTTGTTTTCCACCCCAGCTTTAATTCAAACCTATCACGTACGTGGTTATTCAGTACCAAACACAGAAGTGGCACACTGCGATATGCTTTCTATAAGAATGCGCAATGGACAATTTTTTTTCGCATTGTTCCAAAAGAGTTTAGTTTGCGAGCATTTAACAGCATGAGCCCGACGAGTGCATATAGGATTGCGCGTTGTAATTAATCATTAACGACGACGACGATATGATTGTGAGCTGCGGGTATGAAAAGTTAACATAACCGCAGATATGTTATAACGTTTGACCTGGTTGCAGAGCCCCGGGCGGCCACCCCGCCGCAGCTGAGCGAGCGGAGCCTGTCGCTGGACGCGCGCCGCGACGAGTGGGTGGTCATCCCCTGCGTCGCCGTCGGCCACCCGCCGCCCGACTACAGGTACGTGGGAGCCCTCATCATCATTTACTCATTTGGATTTTGTTAAAAAAAAGGACCGTCATTTTTCTGTACGGTTTCGGATTTTTTTTTCTGATTTTGTTTAATTTCTCTCGCCGTGAGCCTATAATGCTAAAGAGGTGTGTGTGTGTGGAGGGGGGAGGGGGTACGAGAGAGGAGTCCCACGGGATTACCGCCTTGGTCCCGCTAGACCTAGCCCCCAACCCCCCCCCCTCCCCTCCTCTTCTCCGTACATATATTTGCATACTGATATTCTGAATTGCGCTCATATGCGCCGTGCGGGGATTCTCGACATTTATTCGTTATGCGCGTAATACATGTTAATTTGCCACGCCCTCATTTTTTTAAAAAAATTTACCCTTACTACGTCCTTCCTGCTGAAGAGGTGTTTGTAGCAGTAGCAAAGCGGGCGCTTTTTGGCTTTTTGTCGCTGCACACATTTTCATCTTTGCGCCGATGTGCCATTTTCGAGAAGGGAATCTTCTTGTCGTCGTGCACAGCAGAGCCGCTTCGCTGAACAGGGTCAGGTCGGGCTGTGGTGGTGAAAAGGAGGGGGTCTCGCCTGCTTTTGAGCAGGCCCATAGGGGGTCTTACTCAAGGATTGTGGAATGATTTCTTGGAAGGGACGGGGACGGTGAGAGAGAGAGAGAGAGAGAGAGAGAGAGAGAGAGAGAGAGAGAATGAATGGGTGAAGGGGAGTGGTCTCGAGTTCCCTGGCGCGGACATCCTGGCCCCACTTCCAACTCGCGTGAGAGAAGGAATTTGCATATGGGCATGAACACTTTGTGGGGAGAGTGGTCGGCCCCGCCTCGCCCCACCGCAGCAACCCTTTGTCTCGCTCTCGCCCCGCCCCACCCCGCCTTATTAACAGGGCAGACTGGTGTTTCACTCGCCCCTTATGAAATCGCGGAGGTGCACCGCCCGCGGCGTCCTCTCTCTCCGCTGAGAGGTGTCCTCGCGCTGAGCCCGCGCGACGCCGCGGGGACCGTCGCGGTCGTTGTGGTGGTGGTGGACGTCGGGGGAGGAGGTGGTCCTGGCCTCGGGGTCGGTCGGATGTAGTAGAGTTTTCGCGACCAGGAAAGTGTGTTGTTTTTCTCGGGCGTACAAGAGCAAGTTGCTGCTCTGCCAGACGCACCTCTATCTTCAGCAGCAGATCCCGAGTGATCGTGGGCATTGAGAGGACTCGTGTCTTATCTGCAACGGCTACGGGGCGGGGCGGAGCGGGGCGGGGTGACCCGCCAATGAGCTGCGCAAACTGCTGACGTGTGTACGCTGATGCCACGCGCGATGGCGACCCCTCCGAGAGGGGTCGGAGGTCGGGTGTAGGAGGGGTCGGGGCAGGTCGCCCTCATTATGAAGCCAGACTCGATCAGCCGCGCTCGACGACGAGAAAGACCCGCGCTATCCGAGGAAGATAAGATGAAACACGACGAGACGTCGGAGAGTGAGGGGGGGGGGGGACGTCGCCATCAGTATGTATTGCGAGACGAGGCGGCGGCGTCGGGCCGTGTTCCGCCCGGCGCCGACATGCGCGCCGTACCGACCGACCGTACTGCAGCAGACGAGGACACTGTGAGCTTCACAAGGGAAGGTTTTCCGGTGATACAGTCAGATGTCAATGGCGCTTTAGAGTGTTGTTGTTTCCACCCCTAGATAAGGTTTTGGATTTGTTTTAGCTGCCCCTAGGGTGTTTGAAGGTCGTTTTACAGCTAAAACCATAGTGCCAAACCTTCTAGGGGTGCAAAAAACTACACTACAACACTTTAAAGCGCCATTGAATCTGAGTGTAACCCCGGAAAACCTTCCCTTGTCAGTCTCATTATCCCCGCTTTAATATATTGTATTTTCCACTGTGTGAGATACAACTCGTTAAGCTACGTACAAGAAATTTCCCGTCCCATAATATGCGTATGGTAAAATTACTATTTGAAATTGTAAATTTAGAACTACTAGTGGAATTGGACGATGAGCAGGAAAAGGCGAGGGAAAAGTCTGTCCTTATCAATTAACACCATAATCGGAAGGACATTATACGAGAGAGAGGGAGAGAGAGAGAGAGAGAGAGAGCAGACTTCAATCTGTACCCTCCCCCCCTCCTCTATCCTCCCAGCCTGATCCGACTGCCCCGCAGTGCCCCGCCCTCTGCGAGCCAACCAGCGCATTTGCATCGCCCGAGTCTTATCTCTCAGTCGTATACTTGCACGTATTATTTTCTAATACCAAAGTTTACGCGGAGGGCTCCCGCCGCCCTTTGCTCCAGTGCTCCCCGGCAGCGGCCCTGGCCAGCAGCGAGGAGTGGTGGGAAGGTTGGTAATAATGAAGTTGAGTAGGGCCCCAGGGAGGCAGGCCGGGGGC